CTCCTTCCAGTTGTGCTTCAAACAATGATAGCTTTCTCCGAAATCCTTTGATGGCACAGCGGTATGTCTGCGGACTTACAATGCTAGAAACCGGATTTCTATACCCGTGGTGGGCAGAGCACAGATAGCCCATTGTGTAGCTTTGTGCATAATTACAAACAAGCCACCAAGGGAGTATTTATATATATAAATATATATATATATTATTCAATACCAATATTTATGATCAAACTGATGGAAATAAGAAAGAATCTACGTTAGTGCCATCCATTGTCAATTTTTTCCTTTACCATCATGAAGAGCAACAACTGGAAAATTGTACATTGCGTTTTAAACCTGTCATATACTACTGAAGATATGCTGATGATCTTTGACATCTTTTGATGGTAAGAATAGTAAGACTAGGGGACCGAAATATAAATTTTAACAAGATAGGAATCGCCTTCAGCTAAAACAGCTGTGTGTTTTTCAAATACTTGAATGTCAAGAACTAACTCTGAGCGTTTCATATTTATTTTAAAGTATAGTTGAGAAGGTTATAAGGCCTAGATGGACTTAGAAGTCCCTTTTAGTCCTTAAATGATATGTATGTGTAACAAGTAAAACATCATACTATTTCCTCGATGCCCTAGTAACAACGGTAGTTTTGAATGTATCATAAAAAACCCGGTTTGTAGCGTTGTAAGTTTTCAGACTTGCCGCTGTGACATTAGGGATAAAGTGATTTCTCAAATCGTTTGGTAGATGACGTCATGTATGGTGAATTGGAAATGGTAATATCCAAAACAAGTAATATTTGTAATAACATGTATATTATAAACATAAATACCATTTAGAGTAAAAGAAAACGCTTTTAATAATAGAGTTTTTGGTGCTTGCAGTAAAATAGTGTTCAATGTCTTTTTTACTGTTTACACTTAAACAGATAATTTCCAGTAACATTTTATTTCACTATTTACAATAAAACTCAATTTTTCTAATAAATGTTGTTTCAAATTCAACTTCATA